GTGCCTGGGTCCGCCACTGCCAACCAATTCATGATGATGTGCAGTCTTGACACATAGCAAACTATTATTCAATGTTCATACATAGCCATTTATTTATGTAAATTAAGCTGTGCACATAATTGTTCATATCATTAGGTTAAAAGATGAACTCCTCCACCAACAAAATATATGAACAAGGCAGACGAGTTCAGACATACAAGAAATGTTAATAATTGTTAGTATAAATATTTCTTCTGTCCATTGAGACTGAAACAAATTCACCATATTTAAAGCTGCATTTCTCCATTGCAACGCATAGAATCTTTGTGCATTAAGAAGAAGCTCTTTGGCTCTGTGAATCAAATCAGTGCCTTCCCTTTGCACCTGCAGACTCTTTGGACATTTTAGCAAGCTGATGTAAGTTTCCAAGTCATGAACACAACAAGGATTGTGCATCTTAAAGAAATCGAGAAGCAATTCTACGCCGACATGGGCGTAACATGAGCAGCTCGAAGGAAACTCATATCTCCCATTGAAAACCCTAAAATTTTCATTGAAAAAAACCCCAGGTAATTTTGTGATGGGGTCATTGATGTTTACAATTCTAAGAACTTTTACACCTAGTTCTTCACACCTTTCTTTGAAACCAGAGTTTCCAACTCTCGGACCTGCAAAGGAAAATACTGTTACTGGCACGTCTTTATTACCTGAAACATCCTTATTCAATCCGAGTTCTGAGATATCATATGCTAGAAGAAGGGCAAGAGAGCTTCCCATGCTGTGTCCAGCAAGTGTTATGCTCATATCTTGGCCTTTAAACTTGTTGAGAATCCTTGAAATCTCCGATAGAAGTTGTTCACGACAACTTTGTATCCCGAATTTGGAAGCACTTTCATCGGAAGTATATAAGCTTAGAAAACCAGCTTCCACCATTACTTCAGGCCGATCATTGTTGGGATCGAGTCGAGCCGGTGTCAACGAACTCATTAGGTTCGCAACCCATTCGGAGTTCGTAACTGTTCCTCGGAATGTGATTAATATATCTCTTCTTCCAAGTCTACGAACCTCTTCATCTTTTGACATTGCAACATATCCAATCCATCTGCCACAGCATGAGTCATTTTGGGTTGGAATGTTGATGTCAGGTGTTGCATATATGTACTTGGTGATTTCATAACCTGAATCACCCAATCCAACTTCCCTCAGCATGTTTTTCTTTCCGTATTTGCAATGCAAGTACCTTTTTGACTCGGGGTCGAGATCGAAGGCCTTGTAACAAGCAGTAACAAATTCACCATACCGAATGATCTCCTCTCGAAGAAGAGAATCCAAGGGTTCAACTAGGTTATCCCAGTTGTTCAATCCCTGAATCTCTCTCCAAACACGAGCCAATCTCGACTCCATGGCTTTAGTGATTCTTGTGGGTGCACTAAGTACAGAAGATTGCTTATATGAACTGAAATCATTCGATGATTTCACAAAGGACACTTGTGTTAAAGAGGAACGTGGTCGTCTCACAGGATCTGCTGTAAATGTAGCACAAGAAATGCTAGAATTTGGCACATAAAGCATTGAGGAAGCCATGGATTATTTTCTCGATTCCCAACGAAAAAAAAAAAAATCCTCTTTTTGATGGGAGGGGATTCTCAAAACCCAGAAAAGAAAACGAGAGATCGAGAGAAAGGTGTCAAGATAAAAATTGTTAAGGGAGCAAGAGACATTTATACTAGAGGGTAGAGGTTTTTGATTGGACTTACGGTCGTATGATAGGTGGGATGGGGGCCGTGGGGAACGAGATCAGAAGTGTAAAAGAATAGAGAGTGAGCATGTTTGGCAAGGCTTTTGACTATAATTTCAAAATTCAAAAATTGTGAAAACAAGTGGTCGGTTTGGGATATGTTAATATTTAATTGACCAGAGTTGCGGCTGTCTTAAAAAATATATATTAATTAGCCTCATAATATGTACAAGTAAGAATTAGAATACCATCCTCACGTGGGTGAAATTTATTAGAGGTCACCCAACTTTGAGCGAAGTTGAAATTGGTTTCTTTCAAATTCAGAATTTGAGAAATTTATATTCAATACAAATAGTCTCATCCGAGGGAAATAAATTTCATGGGTGCGAAATCATTTGCGTATAACTAGTGTAACTTTTTTTAAGCTCGAGTATGTCATTTTGAATGTATGGAAATTTGTTCATGATCCAGGCCCCTTGTATAGAACCATTTGGAGAAGTGGAGATCAATTTTCTGTGTAACTAATTCTGATTTTGTGCATCTTCTTTTCGTTTATCAAGATTACATAAATTTTGAAATGGAATGTTATCAGAGGTTTGAAGAGTAAAGGAAACATTTGGAGTAGAGATTAATTTTTTTGCATTTTCTTCAAAGCATTGATTATAATGGATCTCTCTTTTAATAACACAAAAAAAAAGAAAAAAATTGATATTCCATTAAGCTACGTATCTAATGTATCTAAATTAGGACTATAATTGAATAATACTATTTTGCACCATAGTTTAGTTGGAAATGGACCCCACCATTTTAGAGTGATGTTATTTAACACTACTGATATTTAACATCTGTTTAGGTGGCCACATTAGTAGCATTAAAGGAAAGGTCCATTTTAGAGTAATATTATTTAACAACACTGATGTTTAACATCAGTTTAGGTGACAACTTTAGTGGCATTAAATGAAATGTCTAATTAAATAAATCACATCATTTCACTTTTAATTGAACATACTTCATCATTTTATTGTCCAATAAAATCATCACTTTGGTGTACAATGAAGAAGTTGGATCAACTGCATGCTAGACTTTATTGTCCAATATTTAAAAAGAAATGCATCTCATTTCAATGGACAACGAGACGGTGAGGTCTACAGCAGGTGGACGAGTAAGCAATGGACTCTACCACTTCATTGTTCAATAAATAAAAATATATTCAACTTTATTGGACAATGAAGTAGTAGAGTTTAATATCACGTGAACTCACGGCAGGGCACCAATGATTCCATGTAGGGTTTTGTTATTAATGAGATTGTATTGACGAGGAGTAATGAGTTCCACGGAAATGAGTGATTAATGAGTAAGTAATAGTTGTAAATGTATGATTAAATTTAATGTTTAACTTTGATTTTAAATTATGAAGAAATTATAATGAAATTCAGACAATCACTTAATGTGTGTGTATATGCGCTTACACACAATATAACTTTAGGTTCGAACAAAGTAGGAAAATGAGTCTACAAATATAAATGTCTTACTCATGCTAGCTGACATAGATGATCTTTACATATTTCACCGAAGGCCTCATCAGATATTCAACCTAATTTAACATTTGAAGAACAACATGTGAAGATATTGATTGTGGGACAAGTGATAAAGTTACCCCTTTAATCGAGGTGGAGAACCGAAATAATAAAAGAAAAAACATGGGAACATGAAGCAAGTTTTTAACGAACGTCATCCTGAACTATTCATCTAGGTTAATTTCAAGGAAGAAATTTCATTAAATGGGTACATTTTAATCCTCTGAAAATTTGTGAATTTTTGTAATAAATTAATTCAAATAACATAAGCCTTCAGTATTGCGAATTAATTTTTAGAACAATAGTTGTTGAAGAATGACATTAAGCTTTAGAGTTCTAAATCTACTTCGAGTAGTTATTTTCGACAAGGATTTTGAGCAAACCATCTCACCTTTCTACTATTTGGTTTTCACATAACATATCTTTCCATGACGATTTCCTTTGGTTATGACTTCTTTTTATTTCATTTCAGACCTTTTACAAAGAATTTTTTTGGGAAAATTGCGGCCGCGGTCCCAAACCTTTCATTTTGTTGCACCCAAACCTTTAATTTTTGCTGTTAAAGTCCCAAACCTTTCATGTAATTGCAGTGTCAGTCCCAAACCTTTAATTTTTGCAACAGAAGTCCCAAATCTTTGTATGTAATTGAAGCGTCGGTCCCAAACCTTTGTATGTAATTGCAGCATCGGTCCCAAATCTTGAATTCCGTCCATAAACCCGTTAGTCAACGTTCAAACAGTAATTTTAACTCGAAAAATTTGCAGCTCTAGTCTC